TGTCATTTAAAAATAAAAAATAAAAAATTTAAACTGACAATTTTTATCTGTGCATGTATTGCTCCTAGCACAATCATCCAACCTAATAGCGATCTATAAGGCAAAACACCATTATAAATATAATTTATGGCATTTAGGGCTTAATTTTTTCATTTTTGGGAGAGTAATTTAAATCATGGTATCCACTATATCCTAATCTGGGCACCAAGCATATCAAATAAGTTGTTTACATCATCCAACTGCAATCTACCATCAAACACTTGAGGTGGCCATACTCTATAGAATAACTTTTGCATTTTTGATATAATAATCTTTTTTGACAAAAATATTGTTTTTTGTTTATAAAAACAATACATTTACCTGGATGCTTGTGTCACACAAACAAAATGTTTGTGCTTTTGGGAGAAACCCAAAGTGCCATTCTAATACTGATTCACAGCAAGTATTACCATGATTAACATTGGGCTGTAACTGAGAAGGTAATTATGAGGAGATTTCTGCATTGGATTCCCTATGACTTCACTTGCACTAATGCTATGTCTGTAGTCCCAGAGGTGTATCTACCACAAGGCAAACAAGACATTTGCCTTGGGCGACATTTTCCAGAGGGGGTGGCAAAAAACGCAGCCCCCAAACTAAACTCATCTGCCATTACTGATATCGGCACGGAAACTGGTACCGCTGCTGATACTGGGCATTTTCACAAGAACTCATGAAAATTCCCCGATTCTAAGCACCAATACAGCCCTTTAAATTTTTAAACACAAGCAGCTGCCGTAAGATTCCAGCTTGCTGGGGACCTCACAGCACCAGCCACACATCTGAGGACCTGAGACCCTACACAGTCTCCTGAGAGCCCGCACAGCCCACCTGACACCCTGTACAGCCCACCTGACACCCTGCACACCCCACCTGAGACCCTGCCCAGCCTCCTGAGAGCCCGCACAGCCCACCTGACACCCTGCACACCCCACCTGAGACCCTGCCCAGCCTCCTGAGAGCCCGCACAGCCCACTTGAGACCCTGCACAGCCCACATAAGTCCCTGCACAGTCCACCTGACACTTTGAATATCCCATCTGATTCATTGCACAACCTCCTGATAGCCCGCACAGCCATCTGAGAGCCTGCACAGCCTTCTGAGACCCCACAAAGCCACCTGAGATGCCCCAAAGCCACCTGAAAGCCTGTAAAGCCCACCTGAGACCCTGTACTTCCCACCTGAGATGCCGCACAGCCCGCATGAGAGCCCGCACAGCCCACCTGACACCCAGCACAGCCCACCTGAGACCCTGCTCAGCCTCCTGGGAGCCTGCACAACCCACCTAAGACTCTGGGGATATCAGGCTGCCACCCTGGAGCAACACAGAGTATCTAGCTTCATATTATTCTTCATTGCCGTATAATGTATTGCTGGTATTTGTAGTCCTCTTTAGCTGGTGGTATTCTGCATTGCTAATAGAACAACCTGTCAGAAGGTGGATACTGCATGCACGCTGTATCCAGCAACTGACAGGTTATGCAAAATGTCTTAAACAGGAAGGGGTGGGTCAAATTTAGATGGGGGGGTGCCCGAGTTTGCCTAGGGCAGCGCAAAACCAAAATACACCACGGTGTAGTACTACTAAATAATGTAACTTCTGCAAGTGATGTCAAAGAGAACCCCACACAAATACCTCTTCAAATATCCCTTAAACCCACACAGTATAAATTCAGCAAATGTTGGTAAATGTGTGGTTTTCTCACACTGGCCAATAATCATGCATTTTACAGGACCTCAGTAAATATACTGTACTTCTAAGTGTTAATCTAACAGCACTATGAATGCTAGAGTCTTTTGCAGCCTTTATCAGAATATTCACAAGGATTCTTGCAAGTTGCACTTTATCATTCTATTATTTATAATAGTGTTTTGAGGGTAATTTTACAGAGACATTTGAGAGTAATTGGAAGTACGCTGTTCCCTAAAATCAGTTTAAATCTAACATGAAATCAGAACCTCAAACATTCAGGTCACGCTTTGCTCTTTTCTATTTTTCTCACATTAACTTTATTGCAACAGCAACATGGCTTGCAAACTACAAACTCTTCCACTGGGAAGGGCTCATTCATCGACACATTTCACCCCTGCATAATCATAGGGATAAAGGCAGAACCTGTTGCTAGTCACCTTTGATTCTGAAACACTATTTTATATGCTACATATGCTACACACTTTTTTGAGCAACAGTTAGGCTTTTAGTATAACTATTTTATTGTAGAAATGAATTAGTATAATTATTTTAATCTGAAATAAGTATGTACTCCTGTGTGATTAATTATGAGCATGTTTGAGATTATATTTTTGTTAATACTTGTCAATATTAGGACAACCCCAGTTCCTGGCAGTTTTTGATATTCAGATTCCCAACAAACCTTAGCTATACAGTATGTCAAGAAAGCGTTGGGCAGTGTACACTTTGAATTTGAGCTATTTGGCATATTTAGGACAATATCTCTTTTAGCCATTCTGTTAACATTTGCCAGCCAAGACCTTCTCACACCTGAATTGAAGTCCGATGGTGATAAAAAGGGATGGGAAAACTGCGCAGGAAGTTTCCATTCAGTGGGAAGAGGGTATTAGAATGTGGCTTAAAATGCAAGTTTGAAAATACATAAATCTTTTAAATAACATGCTTGGGGATGCCTTAAAGCTGCATGTTCAATGTAACTATTTAAATCTGAGCAAAAAAAAAGTACCACTAATGAATGACTGATTGGCAACAGGCAGTGGGCGGGTGCAAGAGCCAGCCTGCTATTGGCTATTGCAATTTGAAATAGCCAAATAGCTGGGGGCTATTGCTCCCAGCCACTGTCTGCTGTGTTTACATTCAGCTGCCTCAACAAGCAGCTGTCACTCCCCAGCTAAAGCTATTATAGTGGAAAGGTGACACTAGGGATCTAATAGACCCCTAATGCCACCTTTAAGAGAACCTGTCATCTCAAATGTGCTTGTGAGCCCCCCCTCCCCCCCCATGTGATAGCAATGAAGGTAAGTTAAAAAAGTTTTAAAAATAATGTTAAATCAAATTCAAAATACCAAGAAAAAAAATGTAAAGTCCCCTGCCCCTGCGAACGCACGCACACTAGAGAAAACAGAAGGCGAGTGCACCTATGTACGAAAACCATAACTGGACTACACATGTCAGGTATTGCCGTGTGCGCCAATTAAAACAGTAATTGAAAATTACTGGCTCCTAACTTTTTTAGCTGGCTCCTGGGTTCAAAGTAAATTTGTCAAGCCTTGCAGTACACATAATTAAAACAGGAAAAACTTGGGCTTGGACTTTTCTCTAACATTTATGCTAGACTCTTATGCAGGTATGCAACCTGGGTGGCCAGGAAAGGGAGGGCAACAAGCATGCGTCCCCCCGCCTCCTGAACCATACCAGGCCACATGCCTTTAGTAATGGAAAGGGGAACCTTGCAAAGCACCTTGCCCCCATATGTTGCAAATCCCCCCTCCATCCTGTCTCCCAAAAATCTAATTTAAAAAAATGTCGAAACTAAACAAAAACACAGACACCATACAAAAGTCCTTTATTTAAAAAAGTGTATTTAAATAAAATGTAACCTATGCCCCCAGTGTAAATTCAACATGAATCAGGTTATCCTGAGATGTAGATCCTCATCAATCATGATAACCAGCTGCCAAACGATGTTGCCTCACCACCACAACATCCCACCGTCATGTCAATGACATGGTCCATCATTCCTAATTCTGCCCTAATCCCCCCTGCACAAAGATGATCCACCCTGCACAGAATAATCCCACCCTGCACAAAACAATTTATCTGGATATCTATACTCTCTGGCTAAGTACACTATACTTTATTGATGCAACTAAAAGAGACACCCATGCAATCACACGATTGTAGGTGCAATGTAATTGTTATTCAGACAAAGAGCAAAGTAAAAAAATGCAGCAACTCAAATAAAGCACAAATGATATTTCACTGAACCAATATTTCTTTATTAATGACATACTTAATAAGCTGAACTAACAAAAAAACATAGCAAAATCAGAATTCTGAATATGATTTAAGGAGTATATATTGCAACAAAACAATGGGTCCGTCTGACTAAAGTATGAAAGTCAATGAAGTGTGTTCACTTCAGACATTAAAAAATGAAGGACAATTGTGCCCTTTTATATTCTCCTGAAAGTAGTTGGAAGTTTAAAGTGAACACGTGTTCAGTTCATTAAATTTCTCTTCATCTCCATTTTTTGCATCTCAGCTAGCTTCACACTTTAGTAAATCTGGTGCTGTGTGTTATCAAGAATTTTTCACTAGATCCTTATGTTTTACCAGGAGTATGGCTTACAGACTTACATGACTTATAACTTCTTAATATCTATTCTCAATATAACATGTCAGTTTATATATTATTGTACATTTTTATAATCTCGCATTTACTGATAAAAAAAAATACTACAGTAATTCTCAGGCAAACAGAGTCCATGAGCGTATAGCCTAAGGCAGCACTTGCGTTTTCAAATATTTGTTATTTACAAACTCAATACAGTTTTATCATTTATATTTAGTATTAATTTTGTAATTTATGTTGTGTTTGTGTGCAATAATGATGATTTTAGTATATTTTTATAGAACATAATGTTTTGATAAACATTTGTGCGGCAGCACCCTCTTTCTCATCTTTTCAATCTACAGGTTTGTGCTTTCAGAAAATGTATGGTTTGGGGGGATTTTACAAACTTTCAAAGCATTTAAGTAAAAAAGAGTAAAACATAGCTAAAGGAAGACAAATAGTTAATATGGCCTGACCACCTGAGATTAAAAGTGGAGAGCAGGGCCAGGCAATGAAAGGGTTACATTTCGATGTGCACAAACTATACAAATAAACACACTTAATCAGGTAACAGAAAGCGGTTGTAAGCCTTTAAACTATAGAATTCTAATGATTTATTCAGTCTGCTCTGACACTTTTACTTATGGTATATCAAGTGTCATCACGGTGGCAGCAGTTAGTTATACATAACTTTTTTAATGGCTTTCGAAGTTTCGGATTACCTATAATAAGAACCAGGGAATTCAGTGAGGGAAAACTAGAAATCATTAAAAAGCAGAAAGAGAAAAACCAAGTTCCTGCTGTTTTTGTAAGGTTAAAAACAAAGCTTAAGGCAACAGACAAGTAGATGTAGAGAGCCAAGAGTAAGATCAGCGTTGCAGCAGCAGACAGGTGAGCATCCAAATTTGTTGTACCTCCTAGGTTCCTTTTTATCATTTGCATGTGTTTACAAAGTGATATAATTATAGGTAAACACAATAAAAGGTATGTGACAAAAACAATGGCAGTAAGAACTAGATAAATATTAAAAATGCATTGACATTTGCTCGCAAAGCTGAAGTTAAAAGATTCAATAACATTTCCAGATGAAATATTGGCGTGTTTTGTATCTCTGTAGAGATCCCAATGTAATGGTACACTAGCAATTAAAGAAAATAAAACAGATCCCCCAAGAAGCCAGGGAATAATCTTGGATATTTTGGATTTTAGATTGCCTAGCAAAAACTGAAATGGAACAATTTTCACAAAGTAATAAAAACATAGGCAAACAGAGAACAGTATACTGGAGAAGAAGGTAAAAACCAAAATTGTCCCAAATGCATTAATAACGGAATCTTGAGAGTAGAACGACTGCAAGATGAGAAAACACATTTCATTGATGACTACTGCTGCTTGGAGAACAAGGTTAGATATTCCAAGGCTGCTTATAATTGTGGTGCAAGCACTAAGGTGCTGGGTCTTTCTCCAGTCCAGGGCGTTTACAACTAGTATATAAAGGTTTCCCGTGAGTCCCAAGACAAGGAATGTAACGTGTAATGTTAATCTGAAGGTAACATTCATCATCTTGACAAAAGTTTTTGGTCTTCACAGTGAAAAAGTTGAAAAAAAAATGTCTTTAATAGAAATAGCATTCCATTGCTGTAACTTTTTGAAGCTTCTGAATCAAATACAATCATGTTTAGTACATTTGACCATGGTACAGTTCAGTTGATGGTTGAATATACGTAATTCCTCAACCATGGCCTATAGTTTTTATGCAGCTTGCCTTTACTAAATACATAGTTACATAGTTAGTCAGGTTAAAAAAAGACACAAGTCCATCGAGTTCAATCCATCAAAATGATCCAAATTTTTTAAAATATATTTGCCGTTGATCCATTGATTCACGCTTTCATGCTTTATCTTGCTGCTTACAGCTAAAACTATTTTCCTTTGCTTTGATTTTGCTGCCAAATAGGTTGTATTTTTGTTTATATTACATAATATTTGCATGTTGATAGCATACTGATCATTCAGCACCAATTGTATTTGACAGATGCAAATCCCTTTTTTATGCTGCTACATGGCAACTTGTGCACATGAGTCATCAAACAAGTATGACAGGTAATATGTATATTTTGCTTAAATTTCCCAGCATTCAAATGCAAAGTTTATATTCTGGCTTAAGTTCTTTAACCATCTCAGGACCAGCAGATTACATTCCCTTCCTGTCTGTTTTCAGTTCTGTGATGATTTGACTGACGATTACTCGGTCATTGCTACATTGTCCTTAAGTTAATTTTGTATCTTTTTTAAAAGGCGATAGAGTGTAACAACTAGGCCTAACCTAGTTACAGACTTGCTTTTGTAGTTGTTGTAGTAAGGTTGGAGACATCAGAAATGTCTCGCCAATGTCAGAACAGTTGTGACACATTCTGCTACATTTGTGGCAAGTATACACTTAAAGGAGAATTATGGGGAGAGTGAAATACACTCCATAAATTTAGAGCCAGTGTGTGACACTGCGGCTGTCACACGTCGGTTCTATTAATCAAGAACTGAGCGATCATATACTGCCGATTGCTCATTATCCGATCTTCTCCCTGCAGAGAATGGTGACTGTAACTCACCACTCCCCACAGGGATTCCCCCCCTCTCATCTCCCTTCCTGCAGCGCTGACTGGAGGGATGGACAGGGGAAATGGGGCCAGCACAGCTGGCTCTTGTCCTCCCATGACCCTAAAGAGAACTATGGCCAAAAAAGGTTGGGGCATAGTTCTCTTTTAAGTGTTAAAGGCACACCATAACTGGAAAGCATATGAACTCTACTTTGGTTGTAAGATCGGTGAGCAGGACAAGGCATGGGCTCTTCACATTTGTTGTGCAAGATGTTCTGTTGATCTAAGAGCTTGGCTCAGAGGAACTCAGAGGTTAATGTCCCGATGATGTGGTAAGAACAGAATGATTGCATAACAGACTGTTACTTCTGTCCGACTAATGTCTTCAGTTTTTGTATTAAAAATAGGAAATCAATTGAATACCACAATCTGCCTTCAGCCACAAGACCAGTGCCACATGATGCCAGTATCGAAGCCATCAGATAAATGGAGCTTTGATGAAACAGATGAAGATGCTGCAAAGGCACCAACCAGGTACAGAAAGTGACAATGAACTAGATTTTGAATAGTGTATGTCTGGCAAGCCTCATCTCATAACACAGTCAGCAATAAATTAGCTGGTCAGAGACTTGGGTTTGTCAAAATCAAAAGCAGAACTACGTGGTTCTTGGGACTGCAATAATGGTATTTGTTTTTAGCAGGTATAAAACTTTGTTTTTGGAAGCCACCAAGATGATTTATTCCTTAATCCCTTGTACACTAGTCTAGTAGTTCTCCTTGGTGACCTCACAAGCATGATGGGACTTGTGTTCCTTTGGAGACCACAAGTATATTGATAAATCCCTCCTGTTTGTCTCCACATGATGTTGGAGTTAATGGATGACTATGGGAGAGTCCCGGGAGAGTGATGTTTCCTCCAGTTGGGAGAAATCTTGCTTAGTAGTTTAAAGGTCATTTTCAAGTGATTCAACCTGCCATGGTCTGTGGACTGGGGCGCTAGGGGAGATAGGCTTCAGGACTATAGAGTGGATTGAACGCACAGACTGGAGTGGTATCAGGGATGTTGGTCACAGGGAGAATAGGAACTAAGAGTCTGTGTGTTATTGGGGACGCACTAGAGGCACAGAATCTAAGAAGGGCCAGGTCTGCGACAGAGTTTCTAATGGTGAGGATGACTGGCTGCTGGACACCTTCAAGGTTGTGTCCCTCTAGCACACCCACTCAGACTCAGTGGACTAGCATGGAGCACCAGGGAAACAGATTCAGACACAGGTATGGAAGAACCCTGAAATGAAGGAGGAGGAAGATAGGAACAGTGGCACACAATAAGAGAGAGAAACAGAAACAAAGAAACAAACAAACATAGAATATACTGAAGAGGGTAACTAAGCAAGGGCACAGGAGGCAGTGCCACACGGTAAAGGCGAGTAGCTTAGAGATACACTAAGGAGCACAAAGGTATAAAGTACAGAAGTATGCAAGAGATGTGCGTTGCACATGCGTTCAAAGAGATACAGGATCACAGAAGGTATAATGCAAAGTGCGAGACAAAGAGGTAAATAAACACAGGGAGTGTGCGATAGAAGTATAGAACAAAGCTATAGGAAAGAGGGGAGCTCAGAAGTAAAGGTGTAAATGTGTAGCAAGGTGGAGGATACACTGGAAAGGTAAGTAACAGAACTAAGAGCCCTAGAGAAAGTTAGGCTGAAGAAAGAAAATAGGTAGGAGAAAGCAGACACACAATGGCAGGCACATAGTAGGGCAAAGAAGGCAAAAGAGAGACTAACAGCACACTGGTAACGCAATGGAAAGTCTTCAGCAAAATACTAAGGTACACACAGGAATCAGGCTACAGATGGAACACTGACAATGGAGCAGGGGATTAAGCCAAACAGATAAACCAGCTGGGTACAGGGAAGCCAAAGAAGCAGGTATCCTAGATGAACACAGGGAATGAAGATCACAGGGATCGCTAGAGACCAAGGGGTCTTGCACAAGGAAAGAGACTTGTTGATTGAACGAAGGGCAACAAGTAAGGTAGAGCTAAAAATGGGGAGGAGGAGTGCAGATTGGCTGCAGCCTTTTAAAACACCATAGGGCTGACAGCCCAGCACCAGGGAGCAAAGGGAAAACCCTTGAACCAGTTTCGGAGGTCCTCAACACACCGTTTGCACACTTTATGAGGCGCCCAAACTTTATCTTGATCTCCAATTTTTAGTCCAAAGTATGCAAAGTATACTTTTTTCACAAAGTCTGTAATATTCTGCTGTTGCTTCAACACTGTATATTCACCACAGACGAAACAGAAACTGTCTGGCGAATTAATACACTTTCGCGGAGCCATAACATAACGGTTGAAGAATGACGAGCTAACACGAATTGCGATAAAAAAGTGTGAACAGCCTAGAACCAAGAACCTGATGATGATTCGTGCACAAGTGTGGCATGCAGGAGAGAGCAGCTCTGTGTCTGTACACGAGACGTCACAGTGCTGGCCACGCCCCCTGCACTGACCGGAGCTGCTGCTATCTGCCCTGTGTCTCCCTCCCACTGGATTCTTCAGGAAAGATTAACCCCTTCTACCATTAGAAGAACAGACTTTAAACTTGCTTAGCTTATGTATTTATTGCTGACCATCAGATTTACAGTGCTTTTTTTTTTTTTACATAACTCGGACAAACCCTTTAAGGTTGTTTTGGCATTTTATATATTAAATACACTTATGTGAATTAATTACATTTTGTTAAAAACCCATAATATAAAAAAATACAAAATTTTTTAAAAAATGATCATTATTCAGGATTTACTGTATATAGTTTCATAATTTGCAAATTTCATTTGAGCCAGTAGGTAGAGGATTAGACTGTTTTCACAGAAAAATAGCCTTTTGTTACAATGTATTTTATATTCATAGATAGTAAACAAATACCATAATAAATTAAATGTAAAACAGTAGTTAAAAAATTATAAACTAAAAAGAAAGAAGAAAATAAAATGCAATCAAAACCATTACATTTCTCTTTCAGAAGAATGTAAATCATCAATAAAATCCATAGCATTCAATTTAATTAGTGTTTCATTTAATTACCATTACATTCTAATTGTCTTTTTTCTATCACAGAGTACAAACTTGTTTTACATCTTCATGTTGGGAATCCTCCTATGTATAACAGATTTTCACATGGACCAATTCTTTATGCTCCTTATGTTTTCAATTTTTTTAAAAATGTTTTTACTCTTCTCAAACTTTTGACAATTGTCTTGAATTCATCATGGCATTTTGGTAAACTGCTTATTATGCTGGACACAAAGAAAAGAAACTGGAGAGCACTGCCTGAAAAATGAACTGGGGAAAGGCCACAAGGGGGCAGTCTAAAACAATTACACACAAAAGTCCATGTAGAAGTAGGTCCACTGGCTGAGAGGAATAAATGTTACAGGACAAACAATAAATCAGCTATTCTCAGGTACTGATTCTGTTGAAAAAAAAGTAATGCTAAATTTATAAAAAGGAAGTGAGCAACTTTGGGAAATGTTTCCCTCCGACTGTAATGTGTTGTTTTCTTTCCCCCTTTTTCTTTTCTTTTTTGTGTGCTGTTTTCTGTTTTGTTGACTGAATTGCTATGCTTGCTGCCTCTGTACTTGTGTACGAATGAGATGCACTACTTGTACCTAATATATATGAAACAATAAAATATTTTCTAAAAAAAAAATTATAAAAAGGATAAAAACAATAAATAAATGTTCATTCTCAAAACAAATGTTGTGGAATTTTGTAGTTGCTGAAAAAATAAAAATAAAAATACATCTACAAAAACAAGGTAGTGTTAAAATAGGACACTGGCATTACTGAGGTGTTAAACTGTTTTGGGAGGGAGCATGGCTTTTAGGGAATGAACTGATAGCACCGTACTTATTTTAAAGTTGTTACTGATTTTGGTAACGGTTGATTATTTTGTCACCAGT